GTAGGAAGAATACATCGAATAATATTTCACCATTTAAAAAAAACATGTATATTGATTTCATTAATGATTAAATAAGTGTCTAAATTATATTATTTTTTTAAATAGGTGTAAAACTTTTTTTGGAATTATCCAGGTGCTTAAGATTACAAACGTTGTTACTTTAAGTCTTCGAGACATAACGACTATTAAAAAATTATGTTAAGTGACATGTGTCATGCTCTAGTAATTTTGATTTTTTTAAAAAAAATTATTATATTTATAAAAACATATTTTTCTAAAATTATAAAAAAAATCATATCCCTAAAAATCTCAAATATCTAACCTTAGCCCTAACCTCCCTTGCCGATCACAGTCATCATCGTCGACGCCACCATTTTCATTTCCCTGATCGATCGCCATTCCCTTGTCATCGTATGAGTCGTTGGATCAGTTGGATGTCGTGAATTTGGGGGGGTTTGAGTTCACCGAAGACTCGATTTTGGGTCACAATTTTACCATTTCCTTCATCGGAGATGCAATGTTTATGGTCGAGTTTGGCTTATCGTAGGGTTAAGGTTCTAGTGAAGGTTCGATCAACATCAAACGATGATGGTCAACAAGGATTTAGGGACTGAAATTAGAGTTTTTAAAGATTTAAGGTCTTTTTTATGTTTTTCAAAATATTTGGATTTTTAATATATATATATATATATATATATATATATATATATATATTATTTTATAATTACCAGAACATGACACATGTCACTCAACGGTGAAATTTAACAGTTGTTACAGCCCGAGCACCTAAAGCGGTAACGTTTGTAACGTTAAACACCTGAATGATTCCACACAAAAAATTAGACACCTATTTTAAAAAAGTGATATAATTTAATCACTTCTTTTATAATTAAGTCTTTCATTCAAAGCAAATCAATCCTCATGAATTTGGTTCGATAATGTTATATTACCTATGGTAATGTAAGATCCCAAATATCATCATATTTTAAAAGATGATCTAATAAGAGTGGTATGAAAGAAATGATTTCAATTGGTTGAGGGAATTATTGTTTCTCCTAGAGATTTCAGATTTAAATATCATTGTGGGAGTGTTTGAGTATGTTAAGAGTCAAATTAAGACAGCTACAATTCTCAAATTAAGGTAGTTGCAATTCGGTGGAGCTGATTTTGTTGAATTTTTGGCATAGGAAAATTGCAAATTTAGTCCCTACACTTTAGGTATTTACAAGATTAGTCCTTAAGCTTCAACTATAAACACCCTAACTCATTTAGCTTCAAAACCATCCCAAATCATTCTAGCTTTCTCCCAATACTAGAGAATTTAGAGAGTTTTCTTGAGAGTTGTTTTCTCCTTTTTATCAAGAGAGAATTGTCATTGTTTTCTCCTTATTAGATCGAGAGAAGTTGTAATTCCTATTTTCTCATAGTGAAATTCTTCTATCTTTGCCTGTGGTTTTTACCCTATATTATTTAGGGGGTTTTCACATAAAATTTGTGTCTTCTTTACCTTCATCTTTATTTTATCAAATTATCAGTTGCGATTTTGCTCTATCCGATAGTCGTATTCCGCAATAATTGGTATCAAGCCATATTAGAGTGTGTAATATTTACTTATTGTCTTTGTGGTTGCCATCAAAAGGTGGATCCTCCAATAATAAAGTAAGAAGGTATTATCAATTCTTTGAAGGTTTCAGAGAACTATTCACGATAGTGAAATAGTGGGAGCTATCTGTAATAGAAGCTATGGCAACGAAATTTGATATTGAAAAGTTCAGTGGGAGAAATTTCTCATTGTGAAAATTGAAGATGAAGGCCATCCTGAGGAAAGACGGTTGTCTAGCGGCTATCAATGAAAGACCGATGGATTTCACAGATGACAGCAAATGGAACGAGATAGACGGGAATGCTATGACAAACCTTCATCTAGCATTAGTAGATGAAGTATTGTCAAGCATTGAGGAGAAGAATACAGCTAAGGAGATATGAGATCATCTCACCAAACTGTACGAGACCACATCGTTGCACAATAAAATTTTCCTTAAGAGGAAATTGTACACTCTCTGGATGCCAGAATCTACTTCAGTGACAGAACACTTAAACAAACTAAACACTTTATTTTCTCAGCTTACATCCTTAAGATGTACAATAGGAGAACAAGAACGTGTTGAACTTCTACTTTAAAGTCTACTTGATTCGTATGACCAACTCATCATCAACTTGACAAACAGTAATGTCACAATCTAGTGTTCGATGACGTTGCAGCTATTGTTCTACAAGAAGAAAATCGGTGCAAGAACGAGGAAGACTGACAAGTAAATCTATAACAAGCAGAAGCATTGACAACAATGAGATAGAGATCAACAGAACGTGGCCAAAGCAGCAATCACAAATATGGTAGATCAAAGTCGAGAAGCAAGAAGAATTTAAAGTGCTACAACTGTGGAAAGAAGGGTCACTTGAAGAATGATTATTGGAGTTTAGGTAAAAACCTCAATCCACAAGGCAATATCACAAACACTTCAGATGATGGAGATGTTATATGTTGTGAAGCGTCAACCATCGTGGAAGGTAGAAAAAGATTTGCAGATATATGACTCATTGATTCAGGAGCAACATATCACATGACCTCAAGTAGAGAATGATTTCATCATTATGAACCTGTCTCAGGAGGATTTGCGTATAGTTGCAATAATCATGCCTTAGAGTTCGTTGGCGTGGGATCCATAAAAATTGAAGATGTATGATGAAACAATTAAAGTTGTTCGAGATGTGCGACATGTGAAAGGCCTGAAGAAAAATTTATTATTCTACGGATTGTTGGATCCCACTGCTCGCAAAGTGATCATTAGCTCCAGGAAATGCACATTCTTGGGGTATGCTGATGGAGTAAAGAGTATCGCTTGTGGGATCTCACTGCTCGTAAAGTGATCATTAGCAGGGATGTTATCTTTGTAGAAGATAAACTACAAAGAAAAGAAGAAGATGGTAGCGCTGAAAGTTAGAGACTACACATATACATGTAGAAAATGAGGTTGAACAAGGAGATTCTTCTGAAGCAGAACCAGCACATGATGAACAAGAACCAGAGAGTTCTGAAGCTCCAACAACTCGTCAATCAGACCGTGTGAGAAGACGTCTCAATTGGCACTCAGATTATGTTATAGAAGGAAATATTGCATACTGCCTTTTAACAGAGGACAATGAGACATCAATATTCCAGGAGGCAATAAACAGCTCAGATGCTTCACTGTGGATGATGGTGATGCAAGAAGAAATTGAAACCCTTCATAAAAATAATACATGAGACCTTATGTCATTTCTATAAGGAATGAAGCCAATTGGTAACAAATGAGTCTTCAAATCAAGCGAAATTGTAACGATCAAGTTCAGAGGTATCGTGCAAGACTGGTGGTCAAAGGATATGATCAAAAAGAAGGTTTTGATTTTAATTAAATATTTTCTCTTGTGGTTCGACTAACAACAGTTCGAGTAGTCTTGGCAATGTGTGCTACATTGAACTTACATGTTAAAATAACTTTTCTTCATGAAAATCTTGAAGAAGAAATTTACATGCTCCTGCCTGAAGGTTTTGAAGAAAAAGAAAGAAGAACTTGGTTTGCAGGTTGAATAAATCTATGTACGGTCTAAAGCAGGCGCCGAGGTATTGGTATAAGATATTTGATTCCTTCATTATGTGCCTTGGATACAATAAACTTAATTCAGACCCTTGTGCTTATTTCAAGAGGTTTGGTGATAATGATTTTGTTATATTGTTGTTGTATGTGGATGACATGTTGGTTGTAGGACCCAACAAAGATCATATTGAAGAATTGAAGGCACAACTGGCTAGGGAATTTGAAATGAATGACTTGGGATCAACAAATAAGATTCTAGGGATGCAAATTCACCTAGACAGAAGTAATAGGAAGATTTGACTTTCATAAAAAAATTACTTGAAGAAAATCTTGTCAAGATTCAACATGCAAGATTGTAAGCCAATTTCTACCCTCTTCTATTAACTTCAAATTATCCTCCAGTATGGTTGTCGTTAATTTTGGGGTTTGAGTTCACCAAAGACGCAGTTTTGGGTCATAATTTTACCATTTCCTTCATCGGAGATGCAATGTTTATGGTCGAGTTTGGCTTGTCGTAGGGTGGAGGTTCTGGTGGAGGTCTGATCAACGTCAAACGATGATGGTCGATAAGGATTTAGGGACTGAAATTGGAATTTTTAAAGCTTTAAGGTCTTTTTTGTGTTTTTCAAAATTTTTGGATTTTATATATATATATATATATATATATATATATATTATTTTAAATAAATTTTTATAATACGAGAACATGACACATGTTACTCAAAGGTGAAATTTAACAGTTGTTACAGCCCGAGCACCTAAAGCGATAACGTTTGTAACATTAAACAACTGAATGATTCAAAAAAAAATTAGACACCTATTTTAAAAAAGTGATATAATTTAATCACTTCTTTTATAATTAAGCCTTTCATTCAAACAAATCAATCCTCATGAATTTGGTTCGATAATGTTATATCACCTATGGTAATGTAAGATCTACATATTTCAAAAGATGATCTAATTAAGAGTGGTATGAAACAAACGATTTCAATTGGTTGAGGGTATGATTGTTTCTCCTAGAGATTTCGGGTTCAAATATCATTGTGAGAGTGTTTGAGCATTAATTGTCAAATGATTAAAAATCTTTCGAATAAATATTACTTTATACTCACCATATATTAATAAAAATATATATCTTATAGTGCTAAAATTTTAAAATGGCCATGGTAGGAGACATGTTGGGATTGCATATTGTAATTTTGTTTTAAGAATTCTAATTGATGTATGAACAATTATTTTGATTATCTATTTGGATTAGTCTAATAAATCCGTATTCAAAGTAAACATCAATAAGAAATAATAACATTTCGATTTTCAATAATAAATAAAAGACCGCCCACTAAAAAGTCCCAACTTCTTCATTTCCGGTAAAAAGGTTGCATTCAAAACCAAAATAATTCGGTAGTAAGTGAATAGAAGATTCACAGATTTTTCAGAAGAAAAGTTCCAAACTTGCAAAATCACACACACTACTGCTCGTCCCATTCATCATTCTTGTACGATACGAGAGTGTCCACCTTGTGTATCTGCATCAACCATAGCAATTATTACTAAACCTCACTTTTCAATAGCTTCTGGTTTTTGCAACATTTTTTTTTACCTTGGTATCAAATGAATGCAACTTCACCATCTGGGGATTTGCAATCAACTTGGGGTCGCTCTCTATCCAAGTGAACGGCACTGCAACATCTTTATCAGTGTACGCCAATACATCAAACACACCTGTAAATAGTCACGGAAATAAGATCAAACATCGGGAGGGGCAAAGATATACTACGTATTTAAATCTAAATACGGAAGAGAAATGTATTATTTGACTAATATTTAAACTAACAAGGAACTCCCACCACGGACGGACCAAAAGGGGACTGGGGCAGTTGCCGGCCCCAATTTCAAATTATCACATATTTTATATTTTCTATTGATAATACGTTTTCACCCCCCTAAAATTTTAAAAATTTGCCCCTAACACAAACCAAACACCACCCTATTGGGGAAGATGATGACTCGTACTTTTCATTTTGCTCGAAGTAGCCAGCCATGTCCAGCACTTGACATGAAACTTTGTAAAAATTGAATGTATCCATATCCAACCCTTGTTACTAAATCTGGGTAAAAATAGGATTTAATTTCGATGTTTGTCTTACATGGTTCATCAAGGCATGGCAAGTAAGTGATACTCGAAGCAATCTGTCTCATGATTGCCTGTATTTCTCTCATGATTTCTTTGTCACTCTTTTCTCTTGACACACTGCAAAAAAAGAAAAAGAAAATCAAAGACCACCCAGATTTCTCAGATTTTAAACAAATACCATACACTGATCAAATGAATCTATCAAGTAAAAAAGTTTACCCTTTTTCAACAACTTCACTATCTGTCTCAATGCTAAAATTCCACCTTTCCAACACCTCATTGGTGGCCTTACTCATGATAACCAATACCACTCTCTGTAGCTTCCCAGCTTCCAGCCATTCTTTTTTCAAAACAATTTCATTTTCAAAAATTTGAAAAAAAATTTGATTAATAAGCAACCAACAAGGTACCCAAAGGCAAGGCAGATATTATACCAGAAAGCTGGGCTGTTAAATTGGAAATGAAGGATTTCACCCCTTCATCTTGAGTAAGCAACATCGGAAGTCCATATTTCTTCACTTTCGCGAAGCTTTCCTCAGGGTAAACCGCTCGATTGTAAAGATACTAAAAATTTAGTTAATTAAACCCTAAACCCTAAAAACTCATTAAGAAGAAACCCAGAAGTATTCATCGATTCATCTTTACCTATTCGCAGCATAACCTGGAAAAAAATGAAAGTTGGGCCAAATTTGTCAACAACCCAAAAAAAACCCAAACAAAGGTGGATTGCGAAGAAAGAAATGGTTTGAGAAATCAAATGTACCAAAAAACTCGCTCACGATTGCCGCTGAGCCGCGAAGAGTGATGATATCTTTGGCAACTGATCTTGACGCCATCCGCTTCCTACAATCAAAATTTTAAGTGTATGGAAGAGTTTGGGGGAGTAATAGAGTAGAAAATTAGGGATTAGGTTAGAGGAAGAAGAATAGGGAAGATTAAATTTCTAGAAATTTGAGAATGACAATCAAAAGTGGGAAAAAAAGAAGAGTAACGGGCGGCTCGTTTCTTGTTGTCCGTCTTGGAGCCGAAACTATGATTTTAAATTGTGCCTTTAACGGTCAAAAAAGTGGGTCCGCTTTTTTTTTTCTTTTTCAAAAAATAGTTTAGAATGAGCGAATCGTGTGGCCACGTAGAGGTCGCAAACGGGTTTATAACGAATTATTTCGGGTTTAGTTTATATTTGGTTTAATTTTGTTTAGATTGTATTGGATTTGATTCATATCTAGTTTGGGTGTACGATAAATCAGGTTGGTTCGGGTATCAAGTCGGGTCAATTTTCAGGTCAAGTGATTATCGGATCGATTATTTTTTTGTTTGGATCAATATCAGATCGGTTGATTTTTGGGTCGGGTCAATATTGGATTGGATGATTTTCGGTTTGGGTTAACATTTAGATTAAGTCAATTTGAGTTGAATTGGTTATGAGTCTAATCAAGTATATATATAAATTATTGATATATTCTTGTAAAAAATATGTCTTCTTGTTTGTTAATATTATTATTTAGGTCAAATTTCAATTCTTAATTATTCAATATTTTGAATTATACCGATAATTTGACACAAATACGATTCTATAATGAGTGCCAGAGTTTGTTATCAAAATTCTATATTGATCTTGTATGAAAAGCTTATCTATTTGATAAAGAAATAATTTTTTATTAAAAATTTTATTTCCAATTATAAATTTAATACTTTTATTAAATTTTAAAAATAATAAATAACTTTATTTGTTAAGTTTTAGTTGTAACATAAGTAAATTTATATTATTTTTATTACAAATCTAATATTATTTCCTTTGTTTTAGTTGTTTACTATTATTTTTATTATAAATGTAATATTTTAATTATAACTAAGATAAATAAACTTTATTTGTTATTATTTTCAATCTTACAATAAGAAGTAAACTTTATATTATTTTTATTACAAGTAAGATAAGTAAACTTTATTTGTTACTATTTTCAATCTTACAATAAAATTCTTACTTTCGGTACAGGTTAATTTCCGTTCGGGTTAAATTCGGTTCAAGTTTCTTTCGGATCGGGTTAAAATTCGACTCAAATTTCTTTCGGTTCGAGTTACTTTCGGTTCATATTAATTTTGATTCGGGCTGTTTTGGTTTCACTAAATTTTGGATCGGATATGGTTTGGATTGGGTATCATATCAAATTTGATTATCATATTCGGATTAATATCCGATATTGAATCAAGTAAATCGGTTCGAATACTCGGGTTCGAGTCAAGTTTATCAGGTCTATGGCCACGTAGGATAATTACTTAACATAAGTACGATAATATTTTATCGAATATATCATTATTAAGAGTTAACTACTTATTTGCTTATTTATTTTTTGTTTAAAATCATTTTTAAAGTCTATTAAGTGATATTGGTGATACAAATAAATATTATTTTCTTAGAAAATTCGGATTCAAGCAATTAGATATGCATGATATATGTACATTATCGATAAAATAACAAATTCTAAATAAATAATATATTGTAATCATCACACTATTAGAAAAAAAACATATAAAATTTATACACAAAATTCCTTTTATAAAATATATAATATACCTTAAAGTTCTATCTGCTTTTTTCTTTTTTAAACAAATCCATATTACTTGTAGTATTAATGTATTTACTCAATAAAAAATAAAAATTGAGGCGAATTTTAAATATATATTAAATTAGATATATAGAGAGAGAGTGCAATAATTTTATTATAATTTATGAATAACAATATTATTTTTTAAAATAAATTATTTTAAATTAATATTTCTTTAAAAGTTTTATTTTCAAGTATCTCAGTTTATTAGACAGGCCAGCCTACGTGAAAGGGTATGCAGTGGAGAAAAACCTGAAATGGCCATTACCAACATTCCAGAACAACCGTGCTATGATAATACAGACAGGAAACTGAAGAGACTGTTACTTATTTTAGTTAGCCGCAATTTCATCTTCAAAATTACCAGCCAGTTACAAGGTCATCCGATATCCTTGTCCATTTACAATAATATTCAACCATTTCTAAATCCGAAACATTCGACGAACTATGTCGGTCAACAATACTGCACTGTTTCGGCTTTGACCCGTCTTCCAAACCCTAAAACCAATCGGAAAGTAGTCGGCATCCATCCATGTTTTCAGTGATATGAGAGAGAAAGGGCCCTGTATATCTCCCTGAGGATCTTCATAATGCCACATCAAGCTTCCAACATCATCATCCTGTGGCTCGACTTTGTTTGAATCCACGTGTTCATCATCGTCATCGTCGTCACTCAAATCGATCACTTGAGTGGTATCTAAGATTTTTAAAAAGTTTTGTTCGACTATGGTACTGTTTTCTTCTGGTACATTCACAACCCGCATGCTCTCGACATCACCATGGCTTGGTCGGATTAGCTGTTCCGGAACATCATGCAAAGGAACTGCAACAAGTGGAATAAAGAACCCAGATGATTGAGATGGAAAATATGCAAAACATCAAACCTTCTACTATCGTCTCGTTTTAAAGAGTAACTCCATACAAGAAATCTCAGAAAAGTGCAATAAGATGATTTTTTGCCATCTTATGGACACATTCTTGGTATATTCGTCGACAGCACAAAATACGAACACCCAAAGTTCGTGACGAATCATACACATTTCCGTAACCCTTCATTTGGGTAATGGAATGAACAAATTGAAGAAAGATTGACCACAAAACATCTAATTTATCGAATGTTACACATACCCGTATTGCCTTTAGTAATTACCGAGGAAGACTCGGTCACTGCAAAAATGGAAGAAAAGGTACACATTTAAAGCGAATAGACAAAGGCATTGAGTATACATGATTAGACTAAAAGAACTCCAGGAAAAATGAAAGAAGTTGATTTACCAGAACCTGCTTTTAAAGGTGTCAATATTGACAATTTCTCGACAGAAGCTGAATCAGTAGGAACTTCCGAAGTTGCCCTGGCAGCCGATTTCTGTGAGTTATTGTTTTCATGTTTAACAGCTTGTGGTGCTGTTTCAGATTCTTTCAATTTCTGTGAGATATAGTCTTCATGTTTAACGTCTTGTGGTGCAGCTTCTGGTTCTACTTCCTCTGCAATAACATTTGGAACCTCACGCAGTAGTCGTTCCTGTTCATCTGGAGTCTGAAGCAGCTGTATTCTCTCCATATACTCGAACATCGTAAGAGCTGAAACAAGTTAAGAAGTCGATAAACCTTAATGGAAATGTTTCATTCCCAATACCAACATGGTTACTCAGATATTGGTTTCAGAGGCATGAAGGCAAAAGTAACCCGTTAAAACCAAGATATAAGCAAGCACCATGCATAATTCCGTTACATTAAAATACAAAATGATGAAATTAGAAGCAAAAATAAGGCGAATGTGTAAGCCCCACATCTGTCCAATGTACATGGAAGAACTTCCATAACGAACACAGTAGGGCTACCGGTAATCTTTTGAAGTACAAGTAGAGCTGCCAGTAAATCAGCAATTGACCATTTCAAGCAAACTTAACATAATTTTACGTTTATGATTATAGCTTTAGCATTTTGGCCCCTTCAAGAACATATGTTGAGAAAACTTGGTCGAGTACCAAAATTATTAACATTCTATTATTGCATTTTCATCTATTTGTTCATAATTCCTAAAATGCAACTATTGAGCTTTATAATCAGTCAAAGCATGTGTGTCTCGGTATGTAATCAACAGATATTCAAAAAGGATATTCTCTGCGCCAACCCTTTTCATTGGCACGATCAATGAGCTTCGGTAACAAGGTAAGTTCTGCTGCAAGCCACTGGGAAAAAAATACATAAAAGAAGGAAAAAAATAAGAATTCGACTACTGTGCTTAAAGTCATCATAAGCCTTCTCAAGAAAAAGTGCCATCAAAAATTAGAATCTAGATCCCCAACACAAGTACCTAGAAAACATATGGTAAAAACATTGCTTTAATACAACAATTAAGGTAGCAACTTTAAGACTTTCAATAATTTAGATATTTTTGTCACCTTTAATTCAACCATTTGATGAAATTCAACATGTTTGATTACGTATTTTAAAAACCCAATGGAAGGTTTTCCATGGATAAGTGTTAAAAAATGCTTAATTAGTTAAACCCTACTTTTCATGCATAACAATTGTAACTAAATTCTTATTATTTAATTGTACAATCTTATGCTTTCTCCTTTTTTTTCAATGTAATTATCAACTCAAGTTTTAACTTTCAAAACACTTTTTAGTACAAATTCAGAACACAAATTTCTTACAAAAGTAAGCATATAATTTTTCAAATTATCAAACATCGCCCAAGGAACAAGTAAACAATAGCAAAGAAACTTGGCCATCAATTGACACTACAAAACACCAATAACAAGAGAATAGATGATCTCATTGTTCTCTAATAGTTAAAAACGGTGTGAATGAGAATACATACATGCTCGGTTATATCTGCATGCAAAATTCGAGCCTTCGCTTCAAGTTCCGCCTATCAGCAGTTCAAAATAATTTTGATATTTGTAAAAGTTAAAAAAGAAAAAAAAAGATGATGAGCTTAAAAACTAAAAAAGCAACAAAGCAAAGTCAATTGGTAAAATAGGGACCGAAAGACAGTGAAAAATACATAAAAGAAACTGATATAAATCATGAAGCAGTAACTAAACATGACAAATAGAGAATTTTCACTAAATATGCACTTTATAATTCAATATCTTATATTAAGCTACTCATATACAGCCAGTTTAATGGTCAGTGTTATTGATAAAGGAGCATCCAATATTAATTTAATTATTTTATTTTTAGGATTAATTTCTTTATTATCGGTCTTTTTCACTCTTATCTTTTGTGTTCTTTTAAATAGTTATGTGATTAGGATAGGACTCTTGGTGTATTACAGTAGAAAGTAAAAAGTGCCTTTAGTGATTGTTTTATTATAAATACTATACTAGAGGGTTATTAGGAATCATCATTGTTATTATTTTCTTGAATTACTACACAGAAA